AATTATGTTTACAATATTTGAAGCAAAGCAAAAGTTAAAATTTGCACAAACTGCACGTTATGGGATACATATTGTTTTATTTTGAAGGTCGAATCGCACAACTTCCGGTATTGTGTTTTCTAATCTCGCTACCTTGACGAAACATCTCCAGCTCTGACGTTATGCGCGCGCACCGCAGTCACCGCATCCCTCGGTACGAAGGTGCGTCAAGTGCGATAGAGTCCGCTGAAATATCTCCTCACTGAGACTTCAACATACAAGACACTGCGAAATTAACACAATGTCAGCCACTCAGGTCTACAGAACAAAAGGTAAAGAACAACTAGAACCACTAAATGTAAAAGCACGCAGCTGCTCAGAAGATACTGGACAATAAAACGTGCTGACTGGATAAGGAGAGTGTGTGATAGGTGTTTTATTTTGAAAATATGCACTAGCAGACTTCTTACAGCCTTTATTGCAGTTGGCTTGACGCTGGCTCAGTCAGACAGGTTGGTACTCACCTGGTTTCAGCCTCAGGCAGGATGCTCTTCTCAAGAAAGGAGCCTGTCTCCACTTTAAAGGACAATACCGAAGCTTTTGTACGTGTACGCCCATTTAAAGTCCAGTGTGGAGTCTTTAAAAGCACAGGCTGCTGTCCTCTTTCTGCCATCAGAGTGTGTTTCTCCTGACGAACACTTGTTCTCACTGGAGTCTGTAAACATTGTGAGAATTCAACCTGCTGAGCCTTTACACTGCAGATAGGTAATCCATCACAGCGAACAACCTGCTTTTATATTAAGTTGTGCTATTGTTGCGCGGTAAATGCAGTGCAGATGGTTGAATCAATGAGCGCTTACAACTCCATTACCACTCCGAGACGAGTTTGACAACAATTAAAGCAGACATGATGTTTATTGAGATGGATTACCTCAGTCAAAGCAAGTCTCTGCAAGTAAATCTCAGAACAGTAAATGAAATGGTTGAACATCAGCAGCTGCCTGGAAGGAGGGAAGACGAGGTTTAAGAGTCCGACACGTTACAGCATGATGTTTAAATCCTGCACTAATGTCATAAAGGGGCTAAAATCATACAAAGAGAAAAGCATTGACCTTTAATTAAACTTAACTTAAGGCTGTGTTTATTTTCTAATGAGGGCAAATTTATACCCTTAAATATGATGTTTTTTCTCATTTTTTTAAACTATTTTCCTGAATTACAGGATGATTTTACCTCTTCAGGCCTGTTTAGTCCAACTGCCTCCAACCAACGATGAGGGGTTGCTTCATTTTAAAGGGAATACTTTGCCATTTTGGGGAAACGTATTTGTTTTATTCCCCAGAAATCGATGAGTTGATTGATTCAACTCAAGTTCGAGCCGGAAGACAGTTAGCTTGGCTCTGTCTGAAGGTAACACAACAAACACCTCTAAATCTCACTAATGCTGCATCTTATTTGTTCAATCTGCACCTGCCTGTGCAGCCAGTTATCACCAGTGGTTCCAGTCCTCCGCGGTGGAAAAGACAATCTATTTCTCTCTTAAATATGTTTTGCCTTGAAGCAAATGGGAGCCTTTTTGAAAAACGTGCTAGACACTTTAATTCACAGTTGGGTAAAGATGTGATCGAGAAAACAACAGACTTTTATCGACCATTGTGGTGAAATATATATAAATATTTATGAACTTTATGAACACATATTTACGAGGCACAAAAAAGGAGCTTGATTCTTTGTTGTTTTTGATTGAATTTGCATCATTTGAGGGTGGGCCGGCGTTAATTGCTGCAGACGAACCTCCCCTGCAGCCATGAGCCCCTGTTTGCTCTCTACAGGAGCTGATTTATTTCAGCTGAGTGCATGCAGCCGCTGCTTGTCTAGGGGTCGTTTCCAAACCATTTGTTTCTTGCTCGTGTCCAGCGCGCTCGCCGGTTCCATCTCTCCAACAGCCACCACCAGGCCTAATTAGAGCATTTATCCCATTAGGACACAGTATTACTACAAAGCTAGCTTTCAGCGGCTGTTAGCGCCGCTGCTGTTTTCCTGCTCGGATCCTTTAGCACTGATAATCTGTTCCTGCGAGTCCTTTCAGAGGACCGGCGGTTGGACTTTTTCATGACCAACGGACGTGCTGCAGGGATGAAATGCATCACATGCACAAAGCCACACTGGAATAAGCACTAGTTGAGAACCTCTAATTAAAGGCTGTCAGTCAAACACTCACTCTGCATCACCTGGAAATAGTTCAGAGTGGGCGACAGGTTACAGAATGCTTACTGAGGCCCTATAATGTTTTATTTTAGTAATAATTAAAATCATTTTCATGCTTTTGTGTTGTTTCCGAGAGATCTCTTGCATTAGGTAAAACAGCGGATAACTGCCGAGCTAAAATTTCAATGCATTTGAACAGTGGCGTGAAAATTCAAACCCCACAGGGAACACTACAACATGTCAATGAGAGCCATTATTCCCAGTATATGATTAGGAACAGGTACCTCATCACTTTCACTTTGACAATGTATTCATGCGGCATTTACGCACAACAATGCCCAGGACACCACAGGCAGCTACCTGCACCCCCGAGGCGACGGTAGTGAAGGTTATAACATATCAATAAATCCCAAGGCACATTGGTGACATTTTTGAAGACAGGAAAACATGAAGACATCTTTGTTGGAGGGCCTTGAGCTGAACCGGTTTTAACGTACCCCCGTGGTGCCCCTCGGTCTCTCTCTGCCAGCTGACTGCACGCTAAAGAGCCGAGGCAAAGGCCAGCCCTTCAAGCAGACGCCCCATTTCAGTTAATTACCAATTTTTAAAGCAATTATATTATATTTATTAAGAGTTGTATTTATTGTGTAGGTAAACAGACATTAAAAGCCCAAAGGCACAGAGGAGGGCTAACTGCTCAGCACAATAATCCACATTATCTGTATCACAAAAAGTACTAAAAAGCCTCATAGTCCCAAAGAAATCGAGCAGTTTTTAAGATTAAACCCTTCAGTTTTGGTCGAGTCGAAACCTTCTTTTCCTTTCAGTAAAATATATTTATAACAGCACAGCTAAAAATCTGAGAAGAGATAAATCCGCTCCCACATTTGAATACTTCATAATGCAATTCCCACTTTCAAAACTGAAAACCCAATCATTGCCTTCCTGAGTTTCACAGCAGCCTATACATTTAAAACTAATATATAAAATAACAAGCAGCCTTAAAGTCTCATTAAGAAGACAAAAATATAATTCATAAGGTTTTGCATGAAACCCTTGAGACATAACATCCCTAAATTTAAAATCACATCGCTTTCCTCGCCCTTAATGCTTATTTTGACTGTCTGGGATGTTTATTTTTTGACTTTTATTAAATAGTTTATTCCCAATTTTATTAAGAATTAATTAAAATGCTAGCTAAAAGAGTGTTTTCTTCTCCAGTGTCAACTCAACTACTGTACACATCACTACTCAAACTAAGTAGTCAGCATCATTCATCAGATACCCTTCTTTGATTGAATCCGTCACCCACGAGTCTCTTACAATTTTAAACTTCTTCCTAAAGCAGCGCCTCAGAGTCCTCAGATCCAGGAGTCTCGTTTCCTGTGCGATAACGACATGAGAGACCCCCTCCTCTAACTTCTGCACGACCGTCCCTCCATGGTAGCGAAACTCCAGCGCCCTGATGTCCAAACAGGTGGCAGGTATGGTGGTTTTTTGGTCTCCTATCTCGGCGAAGCTATCCATGTAAACCGTGAAGGGTCTGAACAAGCTGGTGGGAAGGTCCTCCCAGCCGTAACGCTGCTCCACCTGGCAGACGTCCGTGGACGCGGACGCATCCGAGCTGCCGATGCGGCCGAACACCTCCCGCAGCTGCTGCTCGTCGGTGTCCACAAAGTAGCTGTCGCCGTAGCCGTCGTACTCTTTGGCAAAGTGCTCTCTGGTGGAGGGCGTCATGTGGATCATGTGACGCGGTTGCCACGGGACCACCTCTTTCTGGCTCAAGCACTCCAGCAGCCAGGCGGCCCACACCACGTCGTGCTGGTCAGAGGAAATCAGGTTCTTCACGCGCATGTTCTCCACGCCGACGATCACGCAGTAGGTGTCCCGTCCTGGATTCTGAACCACGATACCGCCACACCTAATGAGAAGATGACATCAGTGGTCGGTTATTTGTGATAGGATACTTTAAAGCGTTTTTAACAAAATCTTCCTCTTATAATTATTCTAAATTATATTCAGTTGTTATTTGTCGGAGTCTGCAGTTCCTCTCAGCTCTACTAAGCATTTTAGCGTCTTTCAGCTCGTTGTTTTGGTTTCCGGCACCCAACAGCAGACAAAAAAGTTCACAACTAGCCTGGTGAACATAGGGAGTCATCTTAGACCAGCTAAAGAGCCAGATATCAGGAGTTGGTGGAGACCAAAACAGAGCTACAAGGAGAGTGAATATTGGTCTTACATTAATCAGGTGGACACAAACATGACTAATAATGACAGCTAATGTTGCTCTATGTCTGCTGCATGTGTAAATAAGCAAGTGCTTGCATTCATGTTAGCCAAATAAACTTAAAAGGTAACAATATGTCAGTGCTGCTTGTTCCCACTGCTCCCAAGTGGCCAATCATCCTCATTACATATAAACAATTACTGCAACACAAGTTAATGCAACACAAAAGGCCTTTTTCATAGATGTCGTGGTACCTGGCCACGCCCTTCTCCAGTTCAGCCTTGGAGTGATCCTCCGTGCCGTTCAGGATACAGAACTCCACATCCTCAAACATATCCGTCTCCTTGGTAACCCCAGAGAGGTCCTGAGGCTTGAAGTGGTCGACGATCCCGACCACCTTCTTGGGTTTGGCTGGCATCTTGCGCTTCTTCTTTTGCGGTTCGTCATCATCGATGCGAACGTGACGCGAGGCGAGTTTCCCAGACGCCTTACTGCGGAACTGATCCAGCTCGGCCAGAGTCATGCACTGGTGCCACTCCTTGTCGTCCCGGATCTTCTCGATCCTGGGGAAGCGAAGGGTGCAATTGGTCTTGTACATGTCGCTCCCCACTATTTCGGCCGCCTTGACCTGGATGATGACGGAGTTGCAGGGTTCGATGTAAACTTCTGGTTTCTCGGTTCCACACAAGATGGACGCTGGCGGGTCATTTTTCCGATAGACTTTCCAGTGCTTGGCCAGCTTCAAACCGAGGTCGTACAACTCCTTCATGGTGTAGCCGGAGCCGATGCGGCAGAGAGTGTGGAAAACTGAGGGTTTCTCGCCAGGCTTTGGAGCTTCGGCAACGGCACATAAGAAATGGGACATCATACCACCTCGTCTCCCTTTCCCCCAGTAGCCACCAACAATCAGCAGGTCAAGCTCATCCATCAAGCCATCCACATATTCTGGCTTTATTTTCAGCCATCCTTCACCTCGCTTGTCAGGTTTGTAGATGGATGAAGGATCCTTCACCATGATCCCCTCTTCTCTGTTGTCGATAGCGTCATTGAGGGCGTTAACCACGTCCTGCATGGTTCGAGCATCAGTCTTTGGCACCAGATGAATCCTTCCCTTAACCGGGGTAAAAACTGTCTGAATGGTCTCGTAGCGTTTCTCCAGCGTTGTCTTTCCAAGCTTCTGGTCGTTGACTAACAGCACGTCAAACACGCAGAAGCACGTCTGTAACTCAGAGTCGTCCATTAGTCTCTTGATGTCGAATTTGCTCCCCTTCTGCATGAAGGTCTCTGTGGTCGGGTTGTACGCCATCATCTCACCGTCCAGGATGCAGTTTATGACGTGGCTTTTGAAAACGTTGTGGATGTAAGGCGTCAGTGAGCCCTCCAGTGGGGATGCTCCAAACTGCTGCGTGTATTCGAAGGCATTTCGGCTAAAGTACTTGTACACGTCCCCGTCTTTGTGCAGCTGTATACGCTCGCCATCCAGCTTGGTCTGGATGTAAAAAGGGCTGTTTCCCATCTGTTTCTCCACACCGCGGATGTTGGCCACGGCTGCCAGCATAGGCTTGAAAGCAGAGAAGAGTCCGATAGAGACGTCGCTCAAAGAGACGGAGGGGTCATGGAGCTGCTGGCACACCTTGTTTAAGTCCGTGTTGACATTGTAGAGGTCATTAGCATCTGGGTGGAAGACTTGGAGAACAGTTTCTTTGCTGATCCCGAGCTTCATGTCCTTCAGAATCATCCTGATGAGCCATTTCTGCTCGAGAGCCGAGCTCTGGGTGATGAGGTGCAGCAGACTCTTTCTCACGAGGTCCTTCTCCTTGCTTCCGTTGTTGATGGCCACAGAGTCCAGAAAGTCATTGACTTCTTTGATGCTGAGGTTTCCCTGATTGGTGCACCGTTTCTTCAGCACAAAGTACGCCATGCCGGCAAAGTCTCCGGCTTCTCCTTGGGATGTAGTCGGAGCGCGGTAGTTCAGCAGTTTATTGGCTTCTGGGCCATTCTTTGGGAGGCCCAATGCGTCGATGTAGAGTTTAGCCAGCATGCTCTCTTTGATGCCGTACGCCATACGCTCTCGTTCGAAGGGGGGGACTATGAGGCGCATAGCTGGGTAGAAAGAGTCTGTTGTTTTGGGGTTGTCTTTGTGGAGGGCAGAGTGAAACTTTCTCCATGAACCAATGAAATCCCCAAGAATCTTGGATTTATCTGGACGGAGTTTAGACTTCTGGATTTTCTCTAAAGTGGTACACAGGTGAAGGAAGGGAACCTGAGCAGCAACAGAGGGCTGACCTGCCGCAGCGCTTTTGGAAGTTCCCTCCATGACGAAATCTGTAGCACACAGCAAAGGTAAAGATCAGCCGAGTAGATCAATGATGCACTTTGGAAATAGTTCATTTGTGATGGATATTTGTGGGAAGATTTTGGGATATGTTTTAAAGATTTAAATATCTGCAATAAGTGTAAACACATCTTTATTATTGGTGTTTTGAATTTCCACACTAAAATAAATTAATTAATCGATAGTTGCAGCCCTGCAAGCAAAACAATTGACGACTGATAATGTAATCAGATTATCAATGAGTGATTTTCACTGTTAAATAATTCTCTCTCTGGCAGATGAAATTAGTCAGAGCAGAAGAACACTATCATGAGAAAGACACACAGGAGAGGAACGAGTGGATCAAAAGTTGCAAAATAACCTCCAGCACGGGAGTCGAACTTGTGATAACACATTTATTTGTAACGTTTTGGTACCATGCCTTCATCAGGCAAATAGTTTGTGACAATAAGAAGTCATATTAAATAAAGACTGGCTGTAAATCTGCAACACATCACAATCCTCACATGTAAGGAAGGAAGCTATGAATATGTTTTGAAACATTTTCAAATATGCAATTAGTCTGAAAAATAAATTAATTTGTTTTTTGTTTTCGTCAGACAAGTGGCCCATCTGAAATGTGGTTGATACATTATAATGCAAACATAACATTTGTTAACATGTATAGAGAATGTGCCCCATGTAGGATATATATGACCTCAATAGTTTTCTCACAGCTCCTTTGTGCCACTGCATCTATTCTAAAGAAGGCTGTAAAATATATCTACTCATCCCATTTATAAGACAATACAAAGCTGAAAGCAGTGATTAAGAAAGAAATCGACCGACCATAGTACGTTTTTAGTGTTTTAAAGTGCCTATTAGCCATTAAAATGGCCTTTTTTACTTATAATTAACCCCTGAGATGCAGATTACTCGTCCTAACATGTTCTGACATGTCTGAAAACAACAAGGGCGGTTTTAATGAGACAGACAGCAGCCTTAAACAAACAATATCTGTATACAATATTTAAAATCCACATGCATTAAAGCCTCTTTTGCCGAATATTAGCCACTAATTGTAGGTTTAAAGTATTTACTAACATTTATAGCTGTCAAACAGAAAACTACTGTCGACTGAGTTCATTTTCAAAATAAGAGTTTCTGTTGTCACATGAGGACTGTGTTGTTCAGACATGTCTGTCCACGTAAGTTACGGATAATTTCCGACGGACAAGGCAATATTTAGGAGTGTTTTTGTGTTCTTAATTGCATCTTAAACTTATATTCTGTCCACACACAACAAAAAGTGAATGAATTAGGCGTTTAATGTTTGTCGCGCTTTCATTTTGAAAACAGACCTCCGCGGCCGGAAGTGTTATTCTCCAGTAACAATAAATAAAGATATATATATAAATATGAGTTGAGAGTTAACTTACCTTTCTCTTTTTATTCTGTCAGACTGTGAGCTACATTTTGAACACTTCCTGCACCTTCCTGGGGGGGACCTGCACGGAAAACCTTCCCCTGGAAACAAGAGCGGAACCTTTGTTCCCTTACAGTTTTTTCGGACACAATTTGTGTTTCAACCTTTAATATTAATTAACTAAATTGCGAAGCTCCAGTTTCACACTTGAAATTGTCACGTTTTGTATACTTTAAATGTCTTATTTGGACATTTACAATTCTGCTGGACATTTACAATTCTGCTCAAAAATAAATATTGTGCTGATGTTTTTAATTAAAAGCAGCACGAAGGAAACTGTTTCTGATTTAATGTCAGATTAAAACGTACATTTTAAAAAGCGTGCACATCCCCTGTAGACATAATATTGTTGCTCTTCTGTCCACCAGCAGAGGGCGACACTGAGGCGCTGCAGTGCTGAGGAGGTGCAGTCAGTGAGGTTGTTTACCATCAGACAGTAGTAAAGGTAGTAAAAGGTAGTAATGCGTACTTGTTGACCACAAGAGGGCGTTTCTCCTCACTCCAGTGATTATGTAAGGCCCATTTGAATCAGACGTAGAATTATCAGAACTTAAAATAAAAAAAATTGACTTGACAATAAATATGACAGTCATTTTTATGGAGGATAAGGCAGATAAGGGCCTGGGATCATTTGCAGATATTTTTGTATTTATAACAAACAAATACTGTATAATTAAGCCAATTAAATCCTCTTATATATCCCTTCTAGGGTCTCTTCCAAGTGCAAACTGTGAAAACAACAAGTGTCATTTGGGAACGAGAAGGTGTGACTTCCGTACGGCAAAATCTAAATCAGCCGAGACTCAGCAGAAAAAGAAAAGATGTGTCAGGAGGCAGAGGAGAACGTTTTGGACAAAGGTTAATGACTCTTTCAGCATCGCTCTGAGCTGCCAGTAAAGGGTTTGGACATTTTTCTGGCACCTTGATGCCTCTAATAACACAAGCACAAACGTATTTGTTTCATGTGTATGTTTGGATAACAGCTTCACGCCTTTTAACCTTCTGCTCTGTTTCCATTACAAACTTGTTTTGACACTCACATGAGTAGGTGTTTGCAGGGGTAATTCCAAGTACACGCTGTTACTTGTAAAGTGATGCCAAATCATTCCAGTGATGTTTTGTTCCCGATCGAAAGTATCTGAGGCTTGTACTGGCGTGGATTCCACAAATACTGACGCTCAAAAGGGGTTTATCTGACTGGTCGGTTATTTTGTCTAGTTTAATAATTTATTTGCAGCTTTAGTGTCTTTGAGAGAGAATCTCTTCCAGGCCTGAGGTGCTGCTCAGTCAGTGACTCTGGCCTTTGACCTGTGTGTGCGGGAGTAGAGATTTCCCTATAGGGATCAATAAAGCATGTCACTGATTATTTATTTGACTGCTACAATGGAGAAAGCACACATAAAAGATAGAAAAAACAAAAAACAACAGCTTCGAGACAGGAAAATATCAAGAACACAACTGCATTTTGTTTTTTTAATGTTTTTTATGAAAAACATAAGAACTGTAACTCTAAATGAAGAGATAATAAATGACAAATATAGATATAAAACACAGTTTTAATAATATAGGTCTTCATAGGAAAAGTTATACTTATAAAATACTGTATATTAATTAATAATCACCAAATGACTTTATACTTGCATACAATTATATTATAGTGTGTCATAAACCCTGAGTTTGGTATCAAATATTGCCAAATTAAACACAATTTGCTGGCATGTATCAATCCTTTCTTTAAAAAACAAAGTGAAATCACAGGGTCACATTTGATCTAGAATTTGTTTGCTGTTTCCCTCGGTGAATATTATTTTTTTCATAAAAGTGATGCCTTTGTAAGAATAGAAGTCCAGTCTAGTAGACTGAAAAGTAAAATAGACTCCTCACTTATCAGCAACTCAGTTCTGCTGTTGTTCATTACTTTCTGCCGCCATCAGGGGGCGATGTGTGTCTGTGCAGGAGTATCTGCACAGCTCTGAGCCCTGAGTCACAGCCAGCCAGAGTTGTTTACTGCTGCTGCTGCTGCTGCAGTGGAGGACTCTGGGATATGTGTGGGCAGGGAGGAGGTCCGTTTGGAGCTACTATGTGCTCCAGCAGTGAACCCACTGTGTTTTCACTTCACACACAATGCAGTGCAGCAGGGAAGGAGAGCTATAACTGGCTGGCTGTTTACACTGTATGTCTGCGTACAGTGTGTGGTTGCTCCTGTGCTTATGTGGGAGCGTGTGATGGCGTGCAAGCTGCAGCGTAAGACCCCCACACACACCCCCAACCCCCTGCACACACTCCGCAGTAAACGGCCTGTCAAGCTGTCAGCCAGTGGGGTTACATAAGCCCTGCTGGATGTGCTGCTGCACTACAACGAGCTGCAGCCTATAAGACAGTAAACAACTGACGTCACTGCTTCCGTGGCATGACCAGCTCGCACCAGGACTGAGAGGGAAGGGAGGAGGAGGAGGAGGAGGAGGAGGAAGGGGGGTTGGTTTATTGTGTGTTGGTGTAGGACTAAGTGAGATTTTGGCATGGAGGCACAGAGGGACGGAGAGAGAATTGGGTAGAGTAATGGAGTTAAAATCCCCCCCTCAACATGGCCGATGATTAAGCGGTGCATCAGCCTGCTCAGTCAGAGTGAGCTGTTGGTGATGTGTGACTGCAGAGACAGTCGTAAACACTTCCTCTTCCCTGCTGGCTGATGACACATTGTTTGCCAAAGAGGTTCCCATTGATTATTTACTCTGATTGTACAACTTTTCCTAATGGACACTGATGCGGTGAATCCAGCCGGTGTAGACTTTCCTTATTAGATCACGCACGAGAGAGACGGAAATAACTAGAAGCAGAAGAGTCGAGAAGGATTTTAAAAGCCCCACTCAGTTTACACATGCAGATCAGTTTACTAGTCATGAGGTGGACTTCTCGGCCTGTGAAAACAGCTGTATAATGTATTCTGTGGCTCTGGAGGGGGGGCCGAGGCAAGTATAAGAAAATAACCCTGATTATGTCACAGTGATGTAATCAGGGTCATGGGCTTGAGGCGCCAAGTTTGTAACAGAAATTGTGTTACAAACTTGGAGCTCGAGGTCTGAAAAATGCTTAACCAGAAAAGATGTAGAGAAGAGAAACTATTGAGTTGCATGATGGGAAATGTAGGATCCAGTGTCCTCCAACTTAATGAAACCAGGCTTTAATATCATTGAGCTGTGGGTTGTAGCTCAATTATTATATTATATTATATTATATTATATTATATTATATTATATTATATTATGTAAGCTGTTGTAGTAGTTTGTATAATATTACTCTGGATGTAATATAATATATCACATGTGATCCTCTATCATTACACACACTAGAATAGTGTACTTTGTTGTTCTTAATGTATGGTTTGACTTGAACTGCTCTTGTAACGTTTTTTTCTTTATATTTATATTCTTCTCTTTTTTATATTTATTGCTTTCTTACCTTTTCTCTGTTCATCTGTACTTGTGTTTCTAATTGTGTTTCTAATTTTGTGCTGCTGCAACCCCTAAATACCCCCTCTAAAGGTGTACCTTATCTTATTCTGTTAAATTCTGTATACAATATGTAAAATGAAGTACGGTATGCTGTATATATGGTTGGTATCAGGAAGTATTGCGCACCAGTTGCCGATGAGGGCCAGAAGGCTAAAGCTGACATACATTATCGACAAACACAGATACAGTGTGTTTTCAGTACGGTATGTTCCCAATCATACGGTGCCTATGTGTGTTCCCTGCAGTTGTTTTATAAACAGAGTGAGAAAAAAAAAAGAAAACCAGCTCACTTGCCAAAGCCGCTTTTGATGCACGGCTGCCTCAAGGCACAATTGAACTCCTCACCACATAATCTTACACAAATGCCAGGAAAGATGAGGACAAGGAGATCCTGTTCACCTAAATTTCAGACCATAAAATACTGTGCTAGGTTTTTTGTTGTTGTTTTTTTTCAGCTGGTAGGGCGAGCCAGACAGTACCCAGTGACCTTCGACTAAAATTAGATCAGCTTCACACATCACTGCCATTCCACACAGCGATCTGCCCTCTTTTTTTTACCTGTTTAATAGCTGTCTGTCTGTCTCCCCCCTTTCACGCTCTGTCATAACATGCTGTGTCATAACAGCTCTCTCTCTGTTGTTATGAAATTGAATTTCTGATAAAATCCCTGACCGTACTCTGTTTTCATCGGACTCACCGGACAGACAGCTGACCTGCGCAGAGGTCGCCGTGGCAGCCCTTGGGTGACCCCGACTCGGCCTTGGTTTGGGTTAAAGCATGAGATAACAGCCCCTGTGGTAATAAAGGGAAGCAGATGGACTTAAAAAAGAAAGAAGGTCAGGGTTAGATTATGAGGATCTAATAAAAAAAAGCAAACGTGTAGGTTATAGGTAGGTTGAACCAATGAGTTTACTGATTTATAACTAAAGTTAATGCAGTGTGAAATTGTAATTAGTCATTTAATTTTGTATTTTTTATTATTTTCCTCTGTTAGTTGTGTCTTTTATTATCTTCAGATATCACTATGCCCAGTTAAATGAGATCCAATCTAGACAGGCTCAGGTGTCATTGGGGCTAATTAAGCTATGGAAAACTATAAAGACTGTTGTTGGGTCCATAATCGGCCTGGTGGATTCGTGTGTGTGTGTGTGTGTGTGTGTGTGTCCGCTTAATGCCATAAACTCTCACCCACGCTTCTTTCCACTGACACCTAAGCTTTACTAGATTGGCAGTTGCCCATTTTGATGGTGTTAAATTTAAGTGGTGCTTTTGACACCAGTGATCACGCCATCATGATATTCATTTAAGCCCTCAGCTGACACATCAGGATCTGTATTTGATTGGTTTTCCTCTTACTTATTATAGAAGGAATTGGTCATCTTAAATGGGAGCTATATTTTTTCTTATGCTCTTGGATGTGGTGTGCCTCAGGGCTTACGTCCAGTAAAGCTTAAAACAATTAGTCGATGAATTGACCTGCATAAAATTAAAAGCCAACGATTTCGAAAATCAATT